AATGTAAATGTACGTTTGTTGAACTATCTTATATCCTTCTATTTTTTTTGAGCTTGTGTCAAATAACTGGATTTATTAGTGACTTGTCATGTCATCTTCCTTTTCGTCAAAGTTGAAATTTTCAAATGTGATGTAGGTGTCTGATTGATCCTTCGGGCATAGGTTGAGGGGGTACTTGGGTATTTTCCCTAAATAATATAATACAATATGTTGTCTACCTATGAAAAACTTAAGATAGTTTCAAGAAAAATCTTTTTCAATAATGAGATCATGTTTCCACGTATACCATCTACTAATAAATTCTTACTTTGTCTAAACACATTTCTGTTAATTTTCTAGTCATTTTCCGCTTCATTAGTAGCAAGACAATAACTTTGTATCCTTGAACTCCTAAGACACATCCAAATCTTCTATCAATCAAAATGGAGCAGAACAGAGTGATTGAACAACTACTAACGAAGGAGATAAAATGAGGAGTGAGAGAAAAAGAGATCATAATAACGGATAGGAAAGAACATACCTATAAACGAACCTTAGTTGTAAGAATTTCAAATCCTTACCTTCACCCTGCACCGTAAAATAATTATAGAATAAATTTAGTATTTTTGTAATTTTTATTCATCAAACAACATCTGTTATACTATGTGGCCTTATCTACACAGACAATTAAGTTGATCACAAAATTAAAGGTTGCTAACTTTTTTTTCCAAAGAGGTCGTGCCAAAATACACATTAATAATAGGAATTCAGATAAACAAAAGGTTACTTCATCTAACAAAACACAATAAAAATGTGAAAGAAATAAAGAATAGTACACCAAAAACCATAATTACTCAACCAATATCATAGAGTTAAGAACAATTCTAATGAAAATGGATCTCACTATTATAGTTGGATGGAAATAGAAATGGGATGAACCAATCTAAATGAAAATGAGCAGAAGTGTATAACTTGGACAGCTACAGGCATTCCATGAACCTCTTTAGCATTTTGAAAACCAGTAAGATCATGCCCTGATCGACTCTTGAATTACTACACTGCTAGTACAAATAAGGGTTGTGGAAAGTCTCTATCAAAGTTGGGAATACACTCCTGCAACTTTATGGCGGTCCACATGCAATGGAAGTAGTGCAAGAATTTGTTAGGATAGAAAAGAATATGTTATTATAGTAAAATACTGATATATCTCCTTAATTTTCTTTTGGGGCATCATAGCTTCAGTTAATGATGTAAAAGTCATAATAAAAAAATAAAATAAAATAATTTTAAAGCCATGATCATTTCAACATGTGAAGTAGTTGTTCTGTATTTACTGTCCAACAATAGTCTTGATGTTGAAAATCAACAATAAGGCTCCTTACTTGATTAGAAAACCAGCTTTCCGTAAACCTTAATGGGGGAAGTTGATTTGTGCTGATAAGTAGCTGATGACTATTGTTGTAGCTACTTTACAAAATTATTGGGACTCCAAAACACAAGATAAATAAAAAATTACAAAAATCGAGAAAATTAATTCAGATGGGGAAAAATCATATATGAACAGAGGAAGTTGAAAATAATTTTGATAAAGAAACTCAAGCTAAATAAACCACAAAGTAAATTGGAAGTCCAAACTAATACTACATGTAACAAAAGACAACCAAAATCTACTGCATGTGAAAATATATAGATTTTTGATATATGAACATAGGAAGATAAGCTGATGTATGCCATTGTTTTCGGTTAAGCTCAAACAAACACAATGCTACTCAAAGATACAAACTTTTAAAGGGAAACAACCCATTTAGGCACAGAAATAAAATTTATAAACTACATCAATCCATCATATTAAAAATTAAATTCAATTTCATTCTTGATTATACACCATAAACAAGAAGAGAGCTTTAGTTTTTATGTTATTTTTTTGAAAAAAAAGGGTTCTTACATTGGCAATAGAATCCAATTGATGCACAAAACCTTTGTTCTTTCTTGTTCATCTCTTATAAACCTCCATACCCCACATACCCAAATAAAATTTCATATATTCACACACCTAAATCAAACTTAATCACCCAATCAAAAGGATAATCCAACGTTAATAACAATCCCAAAAGAAAAAATAAGGAAACATTCACATACCCAAAATAAATTTGGAACTTCAACTTTGATGAAAAGGAAGATGACGGGGAAAAAAGCTCCACATACCCAAATCAAATTTGGCATATTTATACATCTATATCAAATTTAATCACCCAACCAAAAGGATAATCCAACATCCATAAGAAAATCTCAAATGGGAAAACAAGGGAACATTAGCTGAACCAAATCAAATTTGGAACTTCAACTTTGATGAAAATAAAAATGACGGGAAAAAAACAAGCTCAATTGGAACATGCAAAATCTTACCTGGTAAATGATGAAGAGAAAGAATTGAACTTTGATGTGAAAATAGTGATATCATTACAGGAAGAATAGAAGGAAGACATAGAGGATCACATGCATAAGTTGATATCAGGAAGACACGTTGCAAAAAGAAATTGAAAAGACAAAAATTGATTTAACAACAAGATGACACCTAACCATTATAGAAACTTTAAAAGACAAAAATGCCCCTAAAAATGAAGCAAGCATGTTGAACTATCCTTTTCTAATATAAGAGAAAGGCGTGATAGCCCGTGCAAGCACGGGCCTAATATTTGGAGTAAAAAAATAATACTTTCAGATGAAACTCGATTAATATGAATATGAAATTGTAGACTTGAAAAGATGATGCATGTAATCATATTATCAAATGAACTAACATAGAGAGATCTAAAAATTTAATTTGTGATATATCTTGACATAGCAACCAAACATATCACATCACTCAAATTCTAAACTGTTGCAAATATATAAATAGATTAACTACCAACAGATCCTTTTTTTTGCTATAATTTTTCGATGTCTTCTAATGAGATCTATCCTTACTTCATAAAAAAGAAGAAGATAATTGTAGAGAATGAAAATTTTAATGTATATGTCCGCTGGTTACAAGTGTTTACACTCGCATTACACGTAAATTTTCAGTTGATCAACAAAGAAGCAGAAAATCTCCGATCCAAGCAAATTCCTTTTATGTGTGTCTAATCTGACCTTCTGAATTTATTGTCATCATTTTATCATACTATTTCAATGATGACTTGGAATCAATTCAATATTCTGAAAAAATAGTATTTAATCAAATAAATGTTAGCTCAAATTTGCAACATCAGTTGGCCATAAGCTAGTAATAAACATCACCTGAGAGGCAACATACTAAATTTTTTTCTTGTTTCCCGTATATATTATATGTGGATGGTGGCACAAGATTCACTTAAAGCAATTATAAGTTTTTGATCAATAAATGAATCGTTCAGCATGATAATTCATAATCTGATAAAACAATACTTTTTCATAAATAAATAACAAAGAAACATGTATTGTCTAGAGATAAATGAACATGAGAAGTCATAATTATCACATCTGATATTCCACTCCTACATGATTTATTTTGTATGTATCGTTAATCATTACCATCAAATATCTTAAATGTCATGTCTATTTGTTGAACTTGCCATATATGAACAACCACTAATTATGTTTATTGTAGTAATGATACTATTTCCAATTAATATAGTATATGAATATGAACATCAGAAGTTCTTTACTATCCAAGCATAAACACAGAGTAAAAACAAATGTACTACTTCCTTGGTTTCTAAAACCAACAAAGCTGCAGAACATGATTGGCTTAACTATTATTTTAAAAGGAAATCAATGATGAAAGACGTAAACTTACATTGCCTTGGTCTAATCTTTTGAATCTAATTCATTCTCTCACAACTATCTTTCTAACAGTCAAATTTTTAATTCCTAACCAACTAAAAGAACAAACATGTAATGACAAAAAGTAAAACTTGGAATGAAAAAGATTAATAATGCTTACTTGAAATTTTGAGATAGTAATCCAGAAAAAAACATCATTATTCACACAATAAAGAACAAAATAATCACCAAATACCATAGGACATTGAAAGGAAAAGTAGCAAAATTCTTCATACTGACAAGAAATTAGCAACACATATGCATACCATTATTGCACAGCAACAACAAATACAGTTACGAGGAAGAATAACTATACATATGTCATGTGACTTTGTTTCAGTAATAAAAAAGTCAAATAATTTTCTATGGATATAAGAGATTAGGATAAAATAAAAAATAATCATCACAATTACACATTTTGTTCAAAATATTTTCATTTAGTTTTACACATTTACTCTAACTGTGCTCCTAAAAGTTGAAGTAGTTTGCTCCTAATAACTATCAACAAATTGAAGTCAATAAATATAGGAGCATTGATATACCGTGGTTTTATGGTATTTTTAATGCTTTTCCCTTTAGTTTAGTGTGTGTCCAAAAGTCGTTTTGTATCAACTTTCATGTAAGTTTCTCTTTATTTGCAGGAAATCTGTCTAAAAGATGAATGTGGAGGTTTTTTAGCAAGAAATGCAGAAAAGTACCACCTACGGAGCTTATGACGGTCCGTCGTGCCCCCGTAGGTGGCATCGTAGTGAAGCTGCTGAAGGAAGATGGGGAAGTCTGACCAAGTGTGGGGTTACGAAGTGCGTGACGGACCGTCGTAGCCATGACGGTCCGTGATGCTGGTTCGTAATGAAGATCAGAGAAGTAGTCCCAGTACCCAAATTCCAAGAGTTCAAGTGTTATGGAACGGAGACCCTCGACGGACCGTTGTGCCTGTGACGATCCGCCATACCTACCGTCGAGGATAATGAAGAGAGCTATAGATGAATTTGCAAAGTATGGGATGACGGAGTCCATGACGGCCCGTCGTGACTACGACGACTCGTTGCGAGGTCCGTCGACCAAGCCAAGTTTTGACAAATTTCCAGCAAAATAAAGTCCTTCTTTAATTAGATTTAAATTTTTTATAAATAATTCGAAAAACCTCATTTTGGGGGTTAGACTCTTTGGTGATTAGACTCTCTTATAGTTAGACTCTTGGTTATTTTAGTTTCTTTTGTGGATTAGACTTGGTGATTATTATTACACTTTTGGAGAATCTTTAGAATTCAATTAATTTCAGTAATTGATTGTTGGTGATTTTGTTGATTAATCAAGTGAACTTCTAGATTTTATTCTTTCTCATTGAAGTAAGTACATGAATTCTTATATTACATATTTGAATATTGTGATTATGACTATGGGTAACTTAACTCCATAAGTAGGATTGTGGGAACCATAGGAGAATAATGAGGTAAAACCTAACTAAAATAACAATTCTAGAATAGTGTCTTCCATGTATTGATAATTCTTTCGCTTAGAAGTCTTTTGAACGGATGGTCAACGTTAGAACTCTCCTTAATGCTACTTGCCGGACCAAAGAGGTAGATAATAGGAAAAGAATTATCAACATAGATTTAGTGTATACTATTTAATAGGCTAGTATTGATTGGTACGAGGTAATAATTTAATCAAATATTGAATACGATGCTTAGTATGAGGTAAAGGTAAGGGTTAGTATACCAACACACGTAGCCGGACCAAGGTGCGGAGTGAAATTTTCTAGATGCCGGACCAAGGATTTAGAAATACATAACTTATCACTTTGCATGCAAGATACTAGGAAAGAATTGTTATAATTAGAATTATCAAGTTAGGAACCTGTGGGGAACACGTAAACCCTAGTTACTTTTATTAACTGATTAAACTCCAACATTTGAATCTGTTAGTGGTCTACTTTGATTTAGCTAATTATTTTCATTCATTTAGAAATAAAAATCTCCCTTTTATTGTCTTTGCTTTCTAAGGAAATAATTGACTAAAGAGTAGTAATAATAGATTGAAGTTAAGCCTGAACTATTCTCCTCGTGGAAACGATCCCAACCTCATTAGTTGGGTTCTTTACTTGATACGACCGTTTTACTTCTTATTTGAGAAGTAAGTTTGAGCGTATCAAATTTTGGCGCCGGTGCCGGGGAAAGTAGCTTTTAGATTAAATTAAACTTATTACTAAAATTTAGTCAATATTTTCTTAATTTTACTTTGCTTATTGTTTTTTATTCTTGCAGAACTATCTTCCTTGTATGCCAAATACACGAAGAAGAAGAGAACCCTTGTTTCCGTAGGATCACAAACTAGAGCGTACACTACGCAACATGAATCGAAACTTGGGCATTAATGATGATGATCCAAACCAGAACATCCCAGATCTGGTTGATGTTTATGGTCAGTTGTTCCCCGATGCTCCAGGTGAAAACCAACAGAGGCGACAAAATCCCGTTCCACGGCCCCAAGAATACTACAGAGGCTATGACAATATAGCAGACTCCGATGGGCCACTTGTCTTGCCCCCTCTACCACCAGGCCACACCTTTGTGGTAAATAGTAGCCTGATGCAAATTCTCACTGCCAGAGGTTTGTTTTCAGGGCTACCTTTTGAGGATCCACATTGCCATACAGCTAAGGTAAGGGCAGTGTGTAAAAGCTGTGTAGGGAGGCCTGACTTGGACTTGGATGTAATAGGGCTAAGAGTATTTCCTCTCTCACTAACAGGAGAGGCTGATATTTGGTTCACTGAGCTCACTTATAACTCAATTTTAACTTGGAACCAACTAAGGGACGTCTTCTTAGCACGCTACTATCCCGTCTCCAAGAAACTAAACCACAAAGACAGATTGAACAACTTTACGACACTACCAGGAGAAACAGTTAGTAGTTCTTGGGATAGATTCACCTCGTTTTTTAGAAGCGTCCCCAATCACCGTATAATAATAAAGCGGTATTGGATACTATAGCAGGTGGTTCTTATGGGGAGTGTCCTTATGTTGAGATTGCTGAAAAGTTAGAGAAAATCTCCCGGAATAATAAAGTTTGGAGTACTAAGAAGTCGGATACTGGGAGAAATACCTTCGCAGTGCAATCCACTCACAACCCAGCCACAGATGATATTCGTGAAGAGATGGCTCAGATAAGAACTGAGCTTGGGTTGGTATTAAAACATATCACTGGGGTGCAAAAAAGATAAATGTAGTTAACTACTTGTCTAAACCACCACCACCACATGATGAATTATGCGTACGATTCCTATGCAGTAAATGAGAAGACGGGGGCTTTTCGACCGAGTGCCCAAGGCTCAAATCAGGAGAATTGGCGCTAAGGTCAAGGGAACCAAGGTCGGATCTATGGTAACTATAATCGTGAGGTTCATTATATGTCCGAGATGGAAACTACAACCGCCACAATAACTTCAACAGGGGTAACTAAGGTAACAAAAATGATAAGAATAGGCCCTATGTCCCTCCTCAAAATCGTGAAGTTACTCCTACGGATGGTGGAGATAGTGTGGCGCGAGTTGAGGATATGTTGCACAAAATGATGAGGAGGTTCGATGTTAATGATGACTACATTAAAGAGTTAGGGAGTGATTTAGCGGTATCAGGCAGAAAGTCGATACACATGCAATATCGATTAAGCATATTGAGTTGCAAATAGCCCAATTATCTGCGACTGTGAACACACGGCAACCAGGCACTCTTCCTAGCAACACTGTC